ATTTGAACTGTATTGTAATATTATATTTTAAAGGAACTATGTATTATTTTATTGACCTGTACTTAAATCATGTCTTATAATTGTTTGTGTGCTAGAGATTATAATGTTTTAGTGTTTGTTGATTGTGTACCTGAGGACTGCAGATGGAAATGAGCTATTAGCTCAAATCTGGCATAAATCATATCTTCTCTTTTCTGAGATTAATGTCTTTGTACATTAACATGTATGCATGGTCCTTGTTGAAATAAATACATAATAATAATAGAACTCCAAAAACAAAAATGTGCATGATATGTCCTTCCCTAATCACTTCCCACAGTGTTGTGTTTTACCTCCAGGATGATGTCGGACGAGTCGTGCAGCAGCATCACCAGAGTGCCCACCCTCACAAAGTTTGCACAGTAGGAGAAACCGATGAGTAAAATGGTGGCGATGTGATGGATGACCTGCTCCTTAAAGTCCTGGAACACACACACACACACACACACACACACACACACACACACACACACACACACACACACACACACACACACACACACACACACACACACACACACACACACAGTGTATTGCAGCATAACTAGTAATTCAGCAGTTGTGGTCTTGTGTTTGGTAAAGGCAGATTTACATGTTGTCTGGAGGGATTTGTTAAAGATTTTAGATTTTGGCTCTGAATTTAGAGACATTTCCTAAGAAAGCTGCAGCAGCATCTACAATTCCCTTAAACCATGAAAAACATCTGAAATACATCGATGTGTGTGGTGTGAATGTTGGACTAAGTCTTTACTGTAAATTAAAGAGTGTCTTCGCAATGCAGCAAAGTCTAACTGAGGAGTTAAGAGCATAAATGTTCTTGTATACGTCTGGGTTTAATCCGTTTCTTATTCTAGTTCAACGACTGTTACAGTATGCTGATCTGTTACTAGTCTTTACATTTGAAAATCCTGCAACACTCAAGTTTAAAATCAGAGGAAAGTACAGCAAGTGTTGATGAAATAGAAGACAATCCAGTATATTATCTGATCTCTAAATCCTGCAACAATGGGATTACACCTTGCAAAAACACTAAAAGGTGAAAACACTCAGGCCCAAAATGAGAGGACATGTCGAGGAAACCATTTGACAAACAGGTGTTTACATACATATCATGTTCCTTTACATCAGGGGTGTCAAACTCAATTTCATCGCGGGCCACATTAGAATTATGGTTGCACTCAAAGGGCTGGTTGTAATTTTAAGACTATATAAATATGTAATATATATTAAATAATGTATTATATTACATCATTGCCTCTGCATTGGATTATTATGGGATAGGGTAATAACTTCATAATTAACTACGTCTGAAAGCAGAAGTCTAGGGCAAATAATTGCAAGTGTCTTCTGTGAGTGTCACAAAATGATTTCAAAAGAAAAGCCAAATTCTGGAAAAAAAGTCAAAACAAAGAAATGAAAGCGTCAAATTTGGGCGTTTAAAAAAAAAAGAGGCATATTTTGAAGAAAAAAAGTCAAATTCTCATAAAAAAAAAAAGTCAAATTTGAGATGCATTGTGGGACATGTAGTTTATGGGCAACGTGCTTCTGTAAAGCGTTATGTAACCGTATAATAAACATATTATATTCTTTGCAAGCTCTTGTGGGGCCACAGAAAATGAAGTCACAGGCCGGATTTGGCCCCCGGGCCTTGAGTTTGACACCCCTGTTTTACATGGTATGTACGTTTATTATACCATGTTGTTCTGTGTTTCTGCCTTAAATAAGTAAATACAAATTTGAACACAAAAACTTTAGGTGTGTGTCACTCACTTTTCTCTTGACGTCCACAGAGACGCACAGAAGCAGCGACAGATAGAAGCTCATTTCCAACATGTAATACCAGTAATGAGCGTCGGCCACAGCCTACAGAATGAGAGGAAGAGAGAAAAACATGTGTGTGAATGCTGCAGAAACATTTCCATCAGCATGCTTATTTGTGTCGGCTTAGAAGTACACACTCAGACAGTATTTAGAAAGCTTCTACAGGCATACATTTTCTAAATCTCTTTCCATTTTTTGCAGGAAACGAGAGAGTTACATAACAGCTTTCTCACATTTCCCTCTCTAACATACGGTATACAAACAACCCTGTGTTTTAAAAGAGAAAGTGTTTTTTTAGATCACCTCATGCATTCACTGCCTGCAGCAACACAATAGTAGGTAGTTTGGGGGGGGGTTAACCCTTTACAAACACATCCTCTCTCTCCATAACAAGACCACAGAGAGGGAATACTTGAACAGTGTTGCCTGCAGGCTGTAATCTGTCAAACCGCAGATATACACAGAGATGCAGCGTCGCATTTTAAAAGTGTTTTCTGTTGGAGGCCGTGACCCCGCAGGCTAAACTAATATCCCGCCTCTGGAGATATTAGCTTTTCAAAAAAAGAGTTTCAAAGTGAGTGGATGAAGAGTACCAACTTATGAGGGGAAAATCGTTTTTCACTCCGATTAAAATCTCTATTATGATACGTCCACTCTCTTACATTTTGGCTACATAGTCTGTTTTGGTTATAATTGCGGTTTAAATATTGTACGCCTTCAAGAGAAGATTATCTATGTATGGCTTGCCAATAGAGTGCCACAGTGACGAGTCCTAAAACCCGGAAGAAGGAACTCCTTCCGGTTCCTTCGACAAAAACGCAATCCAATTTCTCCATAGGATTTTTGAAAATACCTGGAAATAAGGTCTGTGGTTGAAACACATTTAAGAGACGGATCCCGTTTTGTTCAGCCGGATAATCTCCACATGTCTACCATACTTTTATAATTTTTGAATCATAAATCTATTCGCCAAAAGCAAACGTTATGCTACAAACGAACTACAGCAGGGTCGCTAGTGATGGCAGTTTGACACTGAAGCTTCGATGCGTGCTTCAAACCCCGGACTTCCTATTCCATAGAAGCACTGCTTCGAAGCTTGCTTCAAATCACGTGACATGTGACGTGGTTATGGCTAGAAAGGATCCGTCTAGTGTAAAACTCTCGCGAGAGTTTGGCTGAATGTCACGTGGCTGAATGTTTACGTTTGGCAGGCAGCCTTTCAGTTACGATCGTTAACATCAGTTGGCCACAGCAAATGATGGTGAGAAGCTAAACTATCTATTAATTATGTCAATGAGATAATCAGTGTTTTACTATTAAGTCTGAGGTTTCTCTATTAATATTGCTGCTGCATTAATGTGTATGTTGCATCATGTTACTGCTGTAGATGTGTTTCCGAGACGCTCCGATTATAACGAGAGTTACAACGAGAACGTGACGTCATATTTACACTAGACGGATCCTTTCTAGCCATAACCATGTGACGTCCGAAGCAGCAACTGCTTCATTTCCTGAATGAATCACTTGACTGGTTCGCGGTCCAATCACGCGATTCAATGCACTGCCTCGTCTCGATTCTGACAGGTTGAAACAGTTTCGAATTTGAGCGCTTCAACACTTTATAACCGCTCTAAACAATGCGCAATGCGTGGGTTGTTGTCGTAGTTTGCGTTGTTGCTGTTGTTGTTGGTATTGCATTTGTATTGGATCATTATAGAGCAAGCCAGCAAGAAAGATAGGTCGTTCTGGCTCGGGAAACACTTCGAAATGTGGAGAAGTTGTGAACAAAAAGACGATTATTAGTATTAAAAAAGAAGTTCAACATTTTAAAGGATAGGTAGCCCAGTGGATAGAGCCGGTGGCCCGCATGCGACTGATTCAAATCCTGGGATGGATCAACTTGTAATCATTGCCCGCTTTTGAACTTTAATACTATAACTGATGTCGTAGAACAAAACGTGATCCGTCTCTTCAATGTGTGTCAACCACAGACCTTATTTCCAGCTATTTTCCAAACTCCTATGGAGAAATTGCATTGCTTTTTTGTCGAAGGAACCGGAAGTGGTAAAATGGTAACTTACTTCCGGGTTTTGGGACGCGTCACTGTGGCACTCAGCTGAACACTAGTGGCTTTGAACTGTTGAACATGTGTAACTTGTACCAAATGTCTTTTCTATGTGTCTTCAATACAAATATTTAAAAATAAATATGATACGACCAGAGGTAGAAGAAGTATTCACATCCCTTACTTAAGCTACCAATAAAATAATGTCAAAATCCCAAATAAAAGTAAAAGTACAGAAGTATATTCAGAAAAAATTAACCGATAGTATCAAAAGTAAAATTAGTATTTCTATAGAAAAATGGCTTCCTTCTGTGATATGTATTATATACAGTATGGTAACGGCACAGATATATTTTACATATTGTTTAAACAAATATTGAACTTTCTGTTTAGTGTAATATATTAGATAAATGTGCAATGTTGTACCTTAAACAGTTGTTGCAGTGGTTTCAACTTTAGATACACATATATTCACCGTGGCCTTTGACCCCTAACCCATCACAGTCCCCCTGCTTCCACTCCTACTGATATTTATTTAATTTTTACTTTATTATTGGCCCTTCTTGTTTGTTTGTTTGTTTGTTTTTTGTTTGTTCACCATGCAAAGCGGCCTTGGGTCCCTTGAAAGGCACTATACAAATGGAATCTATTATTATTATTATTATTATTATTTATATATGTTAAAAGTGTGTTGTGTTTTTAAAAGCAAATTATTATTCTGAAAAATTGACTATTTTTCACATTTTCTTTAGTTTTTAAATAGAATAACAAAATGACAAGCAAATGACTTTAAAATTGTGTATTTTGTCAAACCAATGGTCACATAAAATGTAAAATAGAAACAAATAATCACATTGAGAATCTGAAACAAGCAAACGTTTGGCATGTTGACTTAATCAATAGATAAACTCAAATATGAAGAGATACCAATATGTCACCTAATCTATGAGGCTTGATTGTTGACAGTTTTATCAACACCATCAAATCCTTTAAAAAAAAGAAATCACATTATTCTCTGCTCACCTGTTTGGGATAATCTCTCCAACACTCGCTGGGATCCCAGAACCAGGAAGTCTGTAACATCGAAACATCGTCAGCGTCATACAGAACGTGACTTTGACACCATGTGGGATTATGGAATGAGTATAAATGACTGCTTGTTTATTTTATTCCTCACTTTAAAGAATAAATCCAACACCTTGCTGTTGCTTCACTTTGTGTCAATGACTGTGATCAGGGTGATCTTTGAAAGCAGACTTACATTAATTAAAGAGGCGAGCCCCCCAGTGAAGGATGCGAGGTAGAAGACAAAACGCCAGCTGTACAAAACAAACACCATCATATGTTAGAGGCTGTGGTATAAATAAGATTAGTGAATTAGTTAAAGGTCCCCTATAATACTATTATCACTATATTATAGGTCTCAGATATATACAAACATGTCTCTGAAGTGTTTGGCTCCAAACACCAAACAGATCATTGCAGCATTACCCATAATCCCCTCTGTTTCAGCCCTGTTTCCAAAGTACTGATTCTCTGTCTGTTACTTTAGATGAAAATAAGGAGCCCCTCCCCACGCCCCTCTGAGAGAGATTTGGTTACAAAGAACACAATGGTGCTCTAGGAG